TTGCGTTGAAATTCTGTGTAATAGGATTTCTATTATTCCGCTAGTTAGATTGAGATATTTAGATAGTTTGTGTATAATGGAAGCAGAAACACTTTACAGTAGACAGCTTGAAAACATTACCAGCAACATTTTCGGGTTATAAAGAGACCGATTATTTAGACTCAAATTAGTAAATCACTCGCAATATTCCAACTTATTTTCCTAAGTTTCAGCTTTAAATAAATCTTCTCTGAGTCAGAGAGGGTTTTATGTTTCAAGACTAGTTTCTGATTTTGAAATCTGTAAATATTGGGAATCTTACTGCACATTGATTACCTAAAAAAAGGTATCTTTATGTTGGCCTTCTTCTGTACTGTACTTATAAATGGAAATTTCATCAAAAAGATCACTAATTTTTAATGATTGACTTACGATAATCCCCTGTGGTCTCCTTCAACAAGCAGCAATTGAACTAAAAGCACAGAAATATCCACTTACTGATTCTCAAGAATAACTGGTAATGAGTAAAACGACTGAGTGACTCATTTGTGCATTTTGGAGTCCTGCAACTCAGTGGTTAGAGCATTCTGCATTCTGGGTTTGATTTCCGGCAGGACGAAACGTTAGGCAAGTTTCCTTACTCCACACGCCTCTGGTTACCCAGCAGTAAGTAGGAACCCAGTTGTTAAGTCAATTGGTGGACCACTTTTCCAGGGTAATAATGCCTTCAAAAAGTAACTAAATAAATAATAATAAATTGGTCACTTGATCGACGACCGTTCATGGGACACTGCTGTGCACAATTGGCTGCCGCGTTTCGGCCACAAAATATACAGTCAATTCACTTTACAGTATATCCTGTGAAGCGCTTTCAGACGTCTCGAAGACATGATAAGGGGCTATATCAAATGAAAGATTATTATTATTATTTTGTCTCCAACATAAATTCCCTATAACTGAAAAAAATCTACTGGCAAAGTAGGACTGAATAGCTCTTTAAACAAAACAAAATCAGAAAGGGAAAGTTGATCAAGGAATTTTACTTCAGTTAGAAAAATTCAAAGGAGCTATACTATTATAGCCCCATCATTTGCTTTAACGTACCAGAGGGCAAGAAAATGCAGAGAATTGGAATAACTGCAGTCAACACACCACCAAACTGATTATCATACAAGGAAGTTTACTGACATTTAACACTGGACAAATAGGTTTGGAGAATGTTGTACTGTGCATTGTGATACAGTATTTAGACACTCGTCAACCAATTATACAGACAAAGATTAACACAAGTCGTAAAGGCCTGGTCAAATGGTTCTGAACACTCCTACCAAGCTTGCAACATTGAAGAGGTTACGAGCCATTGACATTGAATTAAGAGTACTTTTTACTCAACTCCCCTCCAAAAAAACATAGCATTAAGAAGCTGGACTGGTACAAACATCACTTTTATGCTGTAAAATACATTAAGCGTTAACTCACTTTCCTTCCATTTGGTGCATAAATCAGTTGCTGCATTCACGCACAGACCACAATTATTACATTTTGCAGGATATCCTGTGAAGCGCTGAGGGACATGAAAGGCGCTACACGATATGTAAGGATTATTGTTATGAATCGGAAAATCGATGAGTTACCAACACAACTATTTTAAGCTCCAACCTGTCTGATCAGAGAGTTCTCCATCAGTTTGCATTTACAAAAGTTTGTCTGTGCTTCACCACAAAAATACTGATATGTCAAAGATCAAAAAGTCTAAGCACTGAAGCAATAGGAATATGCAACATCACAAGAATATCTTAGCTTTGTCCTTCATTTGTCTAAGAATCGCAGACATTAAAAAGGTAATATCCATTATTTGGTGGCTGAAAAATACAGGGGAGCAGAGAGTCGGAGGTAATTTCATTAATGCCACCAATTAAAATAAATGTTGCACCATATCTACTGCTCAAAGAACAATTGATTTAAACAACTACTTAACAAAAGTAAATTGGACAGGATAAAAATCAGTGCCAATGCTACAATAAAGAATAATTTCTGAATTAATTTGTATTTAGGAGTCATGTTTTCTGCCTCCAATCGAGTTTCCATTCAACATGCCAGATTATATATATTATATATTATATATAAATGTAACCCTGTATTAAAAAAATGATAACAGCACCAAGGTTTGTAACTATGTTAATTTGTTTTCTCTGTTTGGGCTTCTTTGCTGAAAAAAGCTGAAACAAAGTTTGGTCCAACTGAACACCCCAAGTTTGGGGGCTGATACCAAGCAGATAGATTAAAAGAGGCGATAGCAAATCCACCCCCCACCCCTCCCCCCAAACACACACATTCACACTTTACCTTGTGAACATAGGCTTGAAATATACCACAAGAGTTCATTAAATACAAGTAGCTTTTCAAAAACTATTGTATTTTTGTACACCTGTAGTAACGACGACGAAAAGATCATTTAAAACTCTTTCACACTGCAATCGATCCCCTGTACTACATTGCAGGAATTCGTAACTTTCTGACTGGCTCTTTCGGCCATTTATTCCATCACGCGGATCCCAATCTATGCAACTGCTGCCATGAATACACTGCCAATCCATCTTGCCATCCCGCAGCCTTACAACACCAGTGCCCCCACCCCATACACACACACAGTCATCTTCAAATCACCAGACTCAAGCCATTAATTTTGTGACTCCCTGTTTGAACGTCCTGCAATGGGCACACACACAACAGAATATTTGAGCCAAGCAGATAATGGTTCAGCTTTCAAATCTTGGGAACTGATCACACTTCGTCTTGGGTACAAGTTATTTGCTCCTGGGTATTCCATGACAATGACTGAAACACTAACGTGTAATAGTTGCCTTTTCGTACTAAATAAGGAGAATGTCAACACTAGTTTGCAACCATAGTCAGCATCAAGCCAGGTCAAGTACAATTTGGTAGATTCAAAAAGTAAACCTCCTGCTTTATTGTCTCACAAAATATGCCTTAATCCTGATCTCAGAAAACGACTAACGCACCAACAATAATGACATTCCTTGCTTTCCACACAAGGCATTCTTACAGTGTTGCTTAGTAACAAGATTGCTGAATTATGGGCTGATCTGCACTTGTGGACTTGTATCTGCTTAAAACTGCCCAATCTCATTTCAATTAGAAACCTTCGGTCTCTAAAGAAAAAAAAAGCACAATGTTCTAACCCGCCATGCTTCCTTCTCAATCTGAAGTGACATGCAGAAATGTAGTACAAATACATTCTGGCTCTTATCCAGAGATCAGAATTTAATGACTTGGGGTCAATTCAACAATCTATGCCCTGTTTGGTGAAAACGTCCAGGATTTCAGCCGGTGCTTGTTAATTCCCAGTTTGCCACCTGAACATCCACAAAACTCTATAGTCTTGAAACCTCTGAGGCACGGCTTTGCTATCACACTCTTCAAAATAGAACTGTAGTGTCAGATCCTGACGTTCTGTGATTTTTTTTTCTTTACATCAATCATAAAGAAACTGTCAGGATAACAAATAAGGTTCTAGAAAGTAAGGAAAATAAGGATAATAGGATAAACGAAGCTATTCTAAATTATTCAAATAAAAAGCATACCAATTCAAATTGGGTATTACCTTTTTAAAAGTACATTAAGCATGAATTAAAGCAATTTGTTTTAGAACCATTATAAAACAGATGAACCTTAATTAAATTACATTCATGGAACCCAAAGGTTAGGAATTCAATAAGTTTAACATTTCCCCTACAGCGCAATTCAATTAAAACTATAAAGTCGAGTTTGATTCTAATTCTAGAAACTGCATTTGTAAACAAAAAAAATTGTATTTATTTAACAATATTTACAATCATGTAAGGAATAAATGAAACTAAGTTATCTGTGTCAATGTTCGTGGGTTTTCTATATTTTTATGCAGAGAGGCATAAACCAGTCAAAGGGGATATTTTCTCCTCATTGATCTTCAATTTACCTAATTTCAAGTAATTTAATAAGTAGCTTTCATTATTACAAAAGCAGTATATATTATTCATTCTTAATGGACTTTAATGATATGCACAGAGCCAAAGGACTAACCAGCCACCATGGGAGGAAGGATATTAAAGCCACACTTATACGTTCATACCAAAAATTGCGCTGTGTACCCTTTAGCTATATCTTTATAAGAAAAAATAGATTTCAAATGCATTTTATCAGACACATAGGTACATAAATACATTTACACACTGTACACCCTGTCAGCGAGATGTACTATGGCACATATGAGTGACATCACTTTGTCATGCAATGAAAGTTATTCTGCTCCGTGAAGGCTTAGTAAGGTCGCGTTCGTTAAGAGTGCATTTAACTAACCTGTGCTGATAAATGTGGATAGGCAGGAAAGCCACAAAGTTCACAAAAGACGGGTGGGATTAGGTTCCTGCGGGATTTTAGTGAGTGTCGGTAGAACTGTTTTAAAGTTGGGGTCTAAAGTTAGCAATTGGTGCTCTCCTGATGCTAAAATAAAATAAAATAAAATAAAATGCATTGAGTTCATGCAGGTGTACTGTAATGCTTCATGACAACAGCTCTGCAAATCCTGCGCCCTGGGCTAAGTTTTGCTTTGTGGGGGGGGGGGGGGGTGGGGGGGGGTGGGGGGGTGGAATGTCAGAAGATATCACAATACCAGACTCGATGCATATCAACAGAAGGACGTGCATCAGCAGATCTCACGTTAATTCAGCAGGTTTGCTTTCTTTATTTCTGCGTGTGGTTAAGACACATGCGGGACTCTGGTGATGCACTCAAAATCAATGCAGTATCCCCCCCCCACCACCACCACCCCCCACTCCCCCTCCCTCCCCCCCCCCCAAAAAAAAAAAGTTTTTTTTTTATCATAAGGGGAGGTGAGAGGGGTGGGGGGGGGGGGGGGGGTAAATGGGAAGGAAGGAAGGAAAGGGGGGGTCAGATATTTTGGTTATACGCTGGTAGTCTCTGCAAAAACACCTGTGGTTTCAGTAGGTCTATCAACCCACCATTCATCCCATTGTACACACTTCTGTGATGAGGCGAAAGATCGTCGGCTGCTGCTGCTGCTGCTGCTGGTGGTGGTGGTGGTGGTGGTCTCCTCAGAGTCCCCTCCCGGCTGCTGCCTCCACCGCTGCCCAGATGTTTGAGATGCTCGGGGCTGCCACCGTAATGTTGCTTCAGTCGCTCGGGGCTGACACCGCGGTGCTGCTGCTGCTGCTGCTGCTGCTGCTGCTGCTCGGCTGCGTTCGCCAGACCCCCGGCCATCAAGTGCTTCTGATGCTCGGGGCTGCTGCAGGAGGAGCTCAGGCTGTGTTGTTGTTGTTGTTGTTGCTGTTGTTGCTGCTGCTGCTGCTGTTTCTGGAGGTGCTCGGGGCTGCCACCGCTCACCAGGTGCTTCTCGGGGCTCCCTCCGCCTCCCCGGTGCCTCTGCAGGTGCTCGGGGCTGCCCCCCGGCCCGGCCGAGTGCTTGTGGTTGTGCTGCTGCTGGTGCTGCTGCTGGTGCTGCTGGTGCAGGTGGTGCTGGTGCTGATGGTCAGGGCTGTCCGTGCTGCCCGCACTGGAGGTACTGCTCCCGTCCCCAACGTCCCTCATCAGAGCCCCAGCGCCGGCACCACCGCCGCTGCTGCTGCTGGTGGTGGTGGTGGTGGTGGTGATGGACGAGGTGATGGGGTTCAGATGGAGCAAACCGCCGGCGCTGTCCAGGGAACCCCTATTGCCCGCCGCAAACCCTGTCCCGACACCCAGCCCCAGCCCAGCCCCAGTCCCAGCCCCAGCCCCGCTCTTCTCCTCGTCCAGCATCAGGCACATCTCCCTGAGCTCCAGGTTCTCCCTCAGCACCTCGTCCTGCCTGACCTCCAGGTCCTTGAGCTTCTGCAGGTACAGAGCCACCTCCTTGCGCATCAGACCGGCCGCGTACCTGCCCAGGCGCTGCCACTCGCGGGACACCCGCTTGCCCTTCTGCCGATCGTCGTCCAGGAAGCAGCAGAGGTCCCTCAGCTCCTGGTTGTCCTCCTGCAGCTTCTGGTTGACCTCCTTGAGGCCTCGGATCTCGGTCAGGTGGACCTGCAGCCGGCGGTTGACCTCCTTGATCAGGTTCCCGTGCTCGATCATCACACTCATCTTGTCCGCCTCCGCCCTCCGCAGCCTCCGGACCAGCTCCTCCTTACTCCACTTCACCAGCTCCTCGTCTGGGATCTTACACAGGTCCTCCCTCGAGCCCTCCACGTTTTTGGTCATTGTGTGTGTGTGTGTGTGTGTGGAGGAGGAAAGAGGAAAGAGGAGGAGGAGGAGGAGGGGAGTGTGTGTGGTGGGGGAGGGAGGGAGAGGGGAGAGGGGGGAGAGTGGTGGTGGGGAAAGGGGAGAGTGGTGATGGGAGGGGGGAGAGGGGGGAGTGGTGATGGGTGGGGGGGAGGGGGGAGTGGTGGGGAGAGGGGAGAGTGGTGGTTGGGGAGAGGGGAGAGTGGTGGTGGTGATGGGGGGGAGAGGGGAGAGTGGTGGTGGTGGTGGGGGGGGAGAGGGGAGTAGGGGTGGGTGGGGGGAGGGGAGTAGGGGAGAGTGGTGGTGGTGGGGAGAGGGGAGAGTGGTGGTGGTGGATGAGGAGGGGAGTAGGGGAGAGTAGTGGTGGGTGGGGGGAGAGGGGATAGGGGAGTAGGGGAGAGTGGTGGTGGTGGGTGGGGGGAGAGGGGATAGGGGAGTAGGGGAGAGTAGTGGTGGTGGGTGGGGGGGAGAGGGGATAGGGAGTAGGGGAGAGTAGTGGTGGTGGGTGGGGGGATAGGGGAGTAGGGGAGAGTGGTGGGTGGGAGGGGAGTAGGGGAGAGTGGTGGTTGGGGGGAGAGGGGAGAGTGGTGGTGGTGATGGGGGGGAGAGGGGGAGAGTGGTGGTGGTGGGTGGGGGAGAGGGGAGTAGGGGTGGGTGGGGGGTGAGGAGGGGAGTAGGGGAGTGTGGTGGTGGTGGTGGGTGAGGAGGGGAGTAGGGGAGAGTAGTGGTGGTGGGTGAGGAGGGGAGTAGGGGAGAGTAGTGGTGGTGGGTGGGGGGAGAGGGGAGAGTGGTGGTGGTGGGTGAGGAGGGGAGTAGGGGAGAGTGGTGGTGGTGGGTGGGGGGGGATAGGGGAGTAGGGGAGAGTGGTGGTGGTGGGGTGGGTGGTGAGGGAGGGAGGGAGGGAGGGAGGGGTTGTGGTGCAGAGAAGGGGTTGAATATATCTTTCAAATTTGCCCCCAAAAAATTTGCAGAGGATTTGCAAAAAAAAAAAAAAAAAAAAATTTTTTGCCAATAAAATACTTTTCTTTTTTTCTTCTTCTCTTAGAGATTTGACAGTCTCTCTCTCTCTCTCTCTCTCTCGCACCCTTTGATTTCTTCTCCTCTCTTCTCTCCTCTCTTCTCTTCTCTCTCTCACAAACACAGTTTGTTCCTCCTCTCGGTCACTGGGATGAAGCACCACCTTTCCTCGCCTTTCTCCGTCTCCATGTCTTCTCTGCTACAGCTCTCTCTCTCTCTCCTCTCTTTTCTTTCTTTCTTTCTTTCTTTCTCTCCTCCTTTCTCTCACTCTCTCTCTCTCTCTCTGTCTGTCCGGATGTCTCCTCTCCTCGCTCTCTAATGGTGACAAGGAGGTACGAGCTGACGGAGCCGCTCCTGATGCAGCGGCTCCAGCACCGACACTGCCACTGCTCTCCCCCTCTCCCTCTCCGCCTCTCTCTCTCTCTCTCTCTCTCACACACACACACACACACTCACACACTCTCAGGCAGAGGCTCGGCTTTCCTGCCGCACAGTGACAGGCGGCCGCCCGCTCACCGCCAGCACCGCGCATGCCTGTCAGTGCCGCCCCCACATACACCGCCTGAGACTCGTCTGTCCTGTCCACTCCCTCCCTCCCTCACTCCCTCACTCCCTCACTCACTCACTCACTCACTCACTCACTCATTCCCTCCCTCCCTCACTCACTCATTCCCTCACTCATTCCCTCCCTCCCTCACTCCCTCACTCACTCATTCCCTCACTCACTCACTCACTCACTCATTCCCTCACTCACTCACTCACTCACTCATTCACTCACCTGTTGTCTGTCCACTCATTCACTCACTCACTCATTCACTCACCTGTTGTCTGTCCACTCATTCACTCACTCACTCACTCACCTGTATTCAGTCCACTCACTCACTCACTCATCTGCAGTTAGTCTACTCATTCCCTCACTCACTCACCTGTATTCAGTCCACTCACTCACTCACTCACCTGCAGTTAGTCTACTCATTCCCTCCCTCACTCACTCACTCACTCACCTGTAGTCAGTCCACTCACTCACTCACTCACCTGCAGTTAGTCTACTCATTCCCTCACTCACTCACTCACCTGTAGTCAGTCCACTCACTCACTCACCTGCAGTTAGTCTACTCATTCCCTCACTCACTCACTCACCTGTAGTCAGTCCACTCACTCACTCACCTGCAGTTAGTCTACTCATTCCCTCACTCACTCACTCACCTGTAGTCAGTCCACTCACTCACTCACCTGCAGTTAGTCTATTCATTCCCTCACTCACTCACTTATAGTCAGTCCACTCACCTGCAGTTAGTCTACTCACTCACTCATCTGTAGTCTGTCCACTCACTCACTCACTCACCTGCAGTTAGTCTACTCACTCACTCATAGTCAGTCCACTCTCACTCACTCACCTGTAGTCAGTCCACTCAATCACTCACCTGCAGTTAGTCTACTCACTCACTCACCTGTAGTCTGTCCACTCATTCACTCACTCATTCACTCACACTCACCTGTAGTCTGTCCACTCACTCACACTCACTCACCTGCAGTTAGTCCACTCATTCACTCACTCACACACATACCTGTAGTTGTCCACTCACTCACTCACATACCTGTAGTCCGTCCACTCACTCGCTCACCTGTAGTAAGTCCATTCACTTGCTCACTCATTCACCTGTAGTCTGTCCACTCACTCAATCACATACCTGTAGTCTGCCCATTCATTTATACACTTGTAATCTCTCCACCTGGAGTTTGTCCACTCACTTACAGTTTGGTCTTTCACCTATAGTCTGTTCTTCAAATGAAATTCTCCTCCTGGCTGTTTGTGAACATTGCTGTGAGCAAACTGGCTAACACGTTTACCTGCAAAATACACAGTAACTGCACATCATTGTAATTTCTGTTAAGCGCTTTGAGACATCCTCTCGTCTTAAAAAGTGCTATATCAAATGGAAGGATTATTATTATTACTCTTGTTTTAGGATAACTTTGAGAAAAAGATCCACATCAAAGAAACAAATGTTTGCAAAGGCAAGAAGATCAATTTCAAATGAACACTTAGTATTTCACATATATTATAAATGATAACAAATTATTCATAAATTAATTTAAGGTGACATTCTCATCTCAAGGTTCAAAAGGCAAACCAAATCCATTTACTTCTTCATTCTTTGGATTTCAATAGATTATCTGATTGGATTATTGTTATAAAATTCATTTACAGATATCAATTGTCCTTTAAAGATTGTCAAGTGTTACTCTCACACTTGTTTTAATTCCACTTTACATTTTTACATTATTATGGTAGCCTTTGTCTGCATAATCTGCACAATTTGCCACAACCAGATAAAGGTGACAGGTGTAAAAATACCTCTGCTGTGTCTGCCTCTGAACAATGTGCTGCCCAGAAAAAAGATTTAGTCTGTGAAGGAGCAGCAAAGCACAACTACAGTGTCCTCAGGTGGCCCAAACTGAAAATGTCAATTTTGTTTTGTAAGCAGCATCAAAAGCGGAGAATTAGTTATTTTTTGTAATTAATAATAATAATAATTATAATAATAGCAATCCTTAGATTTGATACAGCGCCTTTCAAGTTGGGAGGGTGTCTCTGAGCGCTACACAGGATTCAGTGTAAAGTGTAGAGACTGTGTACTTTGTGGTCAAATGCAGCAGCCAGTTTGTGTACAGCATTGTCCCCCAAACAATCATGATCAAATTATTATTATTTTTTTTGAAGGGATTATTACCCCTGGGAAATGATCCACTAATCGACTAACAACTGGGTTCCTACTTATTACTAGATAACCAGAGGCATGTGGAGTAAGGAAACTTGCCTAAGGTTCTGCCCTGTCTGGGAATCGAACCGGCGTCCTCTCGCTTATGAGGCGAGTGCTCTAACCACTAAGCTACAGGACTCTACAGTAGAACATTGGTTGCGTCTTTATCACTCGAGGATGTAACTTAAAATTGTTACTGTCTCCATGGAAATACCGCATTGTGATATTCAGGATTATTGTTTTAACCGTGTTTCAAATGGAAATAAAAAGAACTCCCGAAGAACAGATAATTTATTGCGTAATGATCAGATCATTAAAGTCAATGATCTGCGGTCTCATGATTGTTAGTTTGAAAGGCTGTTATTTCTAGGTATGTGTTAATGATCTCACCCTCCACCGCACTGCCTTATGTACTGCACATTCTTAGTGAAGGAATGTGATCACAGGCACTCGTGAGGGAGCTGGCCTCATTCTACATGGCTATTGCTATGATATATGTATACTCAGTACAAAATGAATACTGTTCCTCTTGTCCCCCACCGCACACACACACACCCCTCTGCCCTTTGGCCTTTATTGAAGAATGAATTTATCAGCATGAAAATTGCATTAAGGAAAAATTATGTATTAGGCCATCAATTTAGTCCTCCGAGGATTGTGGTTTTATAATATATAATTAACACATCTGAAATGAGTTGAACCTGTGGATTTGTCTTATTGTTAAACTCATTACTATTCTATTTTAGAACTAAAAAATAATTCACTCATTATACTTAACTGTCAATCACCCAATACTGGTATTCTGGAGTGGGAATCAGAAGAGGAGCTTTTACAGACTTTAATCTGTGCAAGCACGAAAATATTTCTTAAATTGTCAATCCCTTGTTTTCATGTTGAGAGGATGCTCCAGAATGTGGATTTGGAGGGGGGAGTGAGAGCAAAAGGCTGCAATTTAATCCTTGGGTTACGTACGATATCCATGTATGGGGTAACATTTCCAATTTGTAAGAGATGTTATACTGGCTGCCGCGTTTCGCTCACAAAATACGCATTTAATCCACTGTATAGTATAGTCTGTGAAGGGCCTTGGGATGTCTCAACGACGTGATAAAGTGCTATATCAAATGCAAGGATTATTATTATTATTATTGTATATTGGCCACTTTTGGTAGGTTTTCATTCAGGAATTTTTTTATTTGGGCTCAGTCTTTTCAATAATTAGGAACATACCACTGCTC